ACTGCTCATTGCTTCCTACAGTCGTTTTGAAAGTGATGGCACAACTAACTCCTCTCAAAGCTTTCTCTGAAAGTCAGTTTGTGCACAACCCTTCTACAGCACCTATCATAGTTTGGCCTCAAAGGACCTGCACACTTGTAGTCCAGCAGTTTAGGGTCCTGTATCACTGATACCATCCCACTATTTCCTTCCTCTTTGCCAAAGATGTCAACTGTCAGTGTACTGGATTAAAACACCAATGCTATGAGGAAGTGCTGTTAGTTCTTTGCTGCAATTCTACTGGAGACACAAACGCTTCATTCTGCTTCTCTTACAGCCTAAAGGAAGCATTTTATTTCAGCTCTGGTCTTGGGAAGGCTCATACAGAGCACTTGGAGTGCTCTATTCATCTTCATTTAGCACATTTACTGGGGAAAAAATGAAGTAGCTTGTCCCTATCTCTGCACTTTAATATTTAAAACACTAAAAATCTCTTTTGACAGCCTCGTAATTTATCTTTCAGATCCTCTCTGAAATGCTACAATATAAAAATTTCCCATGTTGAAGAAAAAAACTCATTCAAGACTAGCAAACTATTACTCTGCAGCCATATTAGCATTTTATTCTTTCTGGAATGGCTTTTAACTAGGGGAAGATAGAGCTTGAAGGATAGAGAATCAGGATGGGACAACACACTTCAAGATTAAGTGTACAACGTACCAACAACTGTCTCCTAGCAGCACCCAAACACATAATTTCTATTTGTAAGATTGTATTAAACCCCAAGAACATTCAAGAACAAACTTAAGAGACATCTGAAGAGCAGCTGTCTCCCTCCTCCTCCCCCTCTATTCACTCCAGTGGGAGAGTGCTCCCTCTCTCCTCTCCAGTTTCTTTTTGCCTCCTTTTTGCTGAGTAGCTCGCAACCCTTTTCGTCAACACATATAAGATCAGGCTGCTTGGGCCTTTAACAGACAGACATCAAACAGCCTCACTTGGGAAAAAGGTGAGTAGCTCAGCAACTGCACATACCTCTGTTACCTCCTCACCATTAGAGCTCCAGACAACAAAAACAAGTGAGAATATACCAAAAAAACAACCTTATGCCACAACACTCTCCCAAAGTTGCTTTCTTCAAATGTTGGAAAGAGTTGTGAAGTTCATCACTGAAAATTTTCTTTAAAGCTTTTCGAGAACATTAATCTCAAACATCTGACTGACTACAAACATCTTTTTTTGTCCCAGTAGAGGATACAGTTTATGACTTTCCTCAATTTCTTAAACAGTCAGAGGGCCAAAGACTGAGAACTTTACAAAGAATTAAGTTATAAGCAGAAAATCAAGGCAAACTAATGTAATTTCAGCCAAACCAACATAACTCGGCTATGAAAGATACTGGCAGAATCTCTAAGCAACAACTTCAGAACTTGATCAAATGTACAAAAGTTCAACTTTTTTTTCAAGAATCTTTCTAAAATTATGAAGGGTTAAAACCATATTTTTGTTAGAGATCAAAAATAGTAGAAAGGTCATCATTAGAAATTGGATGTAATGAACTATCCTTGTTGATTTACAGGTACCTTAAGAAAACACGGGCCAAATTCACATCTTGAATGCATGTTCTAATGTTGGCTACAATAGAGTCATTGAATGCAATTTGGATTTTTTTCTGGTTGTTGGTGTTCAGTTTTATATTCTAAATTATGCAGTTGATAACTTCAGACTTTTAGGTCTTTTAATAACTTCACCATTAATGCTTATTAATAAGAATAGAAATATAAGTTTTGGCAATTCACACCAAGTTAATATTATTCTCATGGGAAAATTCTGTGTTTTAATACCAAAGCTCTTGATCAAAGTTAGACAAGGTATTATAACTTTGTGATTTATGGAATCAAAATGGGAATAGCTGCATCTTTGTTTTAATCTACCAAAAAAACCCCCCAAAATAATCCTGGCATACAGGAAAAGTATTAGCCTTTTTTAGTCAAAACTACGTAACATTCTCAGGATGACAGTTGCATAGGATTTTTAGATTAGATTTTGTGTGTTTGTTTTTTTTTTTAATCACATTTCAAGAGAACCACTACAGTGGAATAGAGGAAGAGTGAGAACTTGTGACCATGCCTCAGCATATTTTTTTCACAGTAAGATGTTATGGGTCCTGAGAAAAACTGTTATGAAATTATGCACAAAACTGATGATTTATTCATTTGGTTTACTTCCAATAACTGCTACTTTATTTTGACAAATGGACAAACCCTTCTGGAAGTATGCTTGTATTTGAAATGTGTCTCCCACTCACTTTTTTGTACTGTACTGTCTCTTAGTACATTCTGATTTTATAGACATGAGGACACTTGTTCATAAGAGGTATTTCATATGTGCTTGGTGTCACACTGTAAAGATTTCTGATCAGACTGTGGATCACTATGGAACTCACTGAAAAGTTTCACCTGCTCAGGTTCCTGGTTTCCTAGACTTTTCTTTATGCTTTTCAATATAAACAAATGCAGTTTTAACTACACTTATTCTCTAATTAATCCACATATTCTTACATTACCATATTAATAACAATCTTACATCAGACATCTGCATGTTCTTTATCTGCAAAAGAATAAACAGATTAGCCTATTCTGCAAGGTACCCATTCCTCAGATGCCTGCACAACAGCACAACCTGTGAGGGAAAGCACAGTGACAGTGCCTCTCCCCAAACTTCTCTGTTAGTGGAAGGGCAGAAAAGGAAGGAGACTAAAGACTAAGGTAGCTGGGAACAGCTCGTTCTGTGAAGCTGCAGTGACTTCCAGTGACAACAGATTTGGTCTTAAATGTCTTTTGTACCACTGCAATTAAAGAGAGTAAAATTTCAGATAGCGCATTCTGATCGGTACATCCTTGCATACATAATTTTTTCTTTTGTAACAGATGCTCTGCAATTCCTTTCAGAATTGAGACAGCATTTCAGAAACACAAATTAAAGTGCATTTCTACACTATGGGCTCAACTCTTTTCTGTCCTAAAACCAGAAGGGAGTATAGCCAAAAATGGTACAGCCATACAGATCTCAGCCCACTGATGGCACCTTTAAAAATAAGCCTAATTATGCCTTAGTTCAAGTAAATTATTCATACAATAAAACTGCTCAATAACCCTGATCTCTGTCATGTCAGGTAACAGTCAAAGTCTTCTCACTACCACAAAAAAAGAAACTACATACAGAGCAAACCAGCCAGAAACATCTTGTCTGGAACTATGACCAATTTTGAAAAGCACAGCTTATAAACAGACTGGACAAATAGCTTGATAAATGCATTTTAACCCAGCCATTTTAAAATACAGCACATTTTAATGAGTTGGAAGTGTGACTAAGTGAAATTCTGCCCCTGGTTTCCTCTGTGTCAGGTCAGCTTCTTTGCAAGAACTCCAGACACAGAACTGAAAGCGGTTGTTTTGCACCTATGCAGCTGAAATTTAATATTCCTGTTCATCAGAAACCCCTAAAGTTTTGCAAAAACTACAAGCACTAGTGTAGTCGATGACTGATAATTAAGTTCCTCTTTCACCAGTCTCATCTTCCTCATTCATATGTGAGTGTACTCTCACAAGCTATAAATTATTCAGGGAGGAGCTGCTTTCAGCTTCTTGTTGCACCTTCTACACTTTTTTTTTTACAATTAAATAGTCAAGGATTTGGTGTTTACAACCCTGGCATTACTCTTTGACCCACAGGATCTTAGTTAGTAATATGAACTAACAACTTCAAGAGATATCCACACAGTAGGACAGCCAGCATCTTGGTAGGGTTTCCTTTTTGCTTGATTTGGAACAGATACTTATCCTTTAATTTTCCCCAATTCTAGCACACTACCCACCATGCTGTTCATGCCGCAGATGGATCTCTTTTGCTCCTTAAGGTTTTATGTAGAATTTAAATCATGAAGCTGCTAATTGCATACACGGAAACAGAAACCGCAACCCAACAAATGCTACATTGTTCCCATTCTGTGATCCTGGACCCTGTTTTAGTTACTAAAAGGTTACTACATTTAACCTCAAGTTTCCTCCTAATTCCATAGGTAGCATCATGAAGTCAAATAGCAAATTTTTCAAACCATCCTTCTACAATGTTAAGCCCCTTAAAAATAGCCATTTTTTTAAAGACAGCTGCATTTTAATGAGAGACTTCAACCACATATGTGCACAAGACCACAAGGGCTGGAGAAGCCTCCATAAAGCTCTGATTTTTTACATATACTAAATTTACAATATTTATGGTAGCCTGAGGGAATATCTAAGCTAGTAAAGGGAGCTTTCCCATGTAAGGCTAGAAAAAGCAGTTTGCCTGAACACTGCATGAAGAAATGAGACGAACAGGGAACTGGAAGAGAAGGGGGGCTCAGGTTGCTGAGGGTCAAGACTGTCCTTCTCAGCCAGTGGTGCATCTGCAGCATTTCCCCACTTTTCTGCAGTGCTCTGACACAGAAGGATGCTCCTGATGGAACAGAGATGGAGTGGAGCCTTATTACAGCTGCAGTGAAAACTAAGTGTGTGGCTCCCCCCACAACAGAATGCGAGACCTCTTGTAGCTTTTCCTAGAGCAGTGGCCTTGGTTGACAACTTTCATCTCTGGACAAAGACTGATCAACCAGCACAGCACATCTCCAAGGAAACATACCTGCTGGCCACCCATCAGGTCAGAAAAAACAAGATTTTCTGTCTGGACTAGCAAGCAAAATTATTGAAAGATTTTGTTCTGTATTAAGATGCAAATACTTCAGAAAGCACTAGTTATGAAATTCCAAAAATTCTTCAACTGAAGGTGTTGGAACAATAGTAAAGGAAATATATTAAGTCATTAATAAATATTATTTATTCTCATTTTTATGTTATTGTTTCTAGCACAAAGTTTTTGAATTTACTTTTGACTTCCTATCTTCTAATTTTTACTCCCTAGTTACCTCCACAGGATGGATGCAAAAAGATTTCCATCAGCACATTTAAAGAAAAACATTTCTTTCAAGCAAGGCACAAAATTTAGATTTATTTAATTTGATTAATCCCAATTTTTGTTTTACATTAAGTACAAAAACCAACTTGAACGTAGGTGTAAATACAATTCCACAAAGTAGTTCAGTGAGATTTAAAATCATATCCAGAACTGTAAAGCACAATTAAAAGCAGCCCAGGATATACAGATTGCTTACTATAACTGCTGAAAGAGCTCATAATGCATCAATGTACTTAACAACCTCCAGCATTAAGTTACCTCCTTTCTAATCTTACATTTAAAACACATTTAGCAAATCTGTACCTAACAAAGGAAACATTAAAGAATGAGAAGTGCAGGTAAGTTTTACTCAAGCTGAAGCCTAACTAAAACACACATACAATCAAAAATTAAACAACAGAACAGAGACTTAAATATTTTGAACATTTCTAAGAACAAAAATGCTAATATAATATAGAAAAATAGCCACAGGTTCCAAGACTTATTTACTTCTCAAAGAACTTATGGTGTACTGTAGCTGCCTGAAATATTTTAACCATTATAGAAAATCGTATTTCCAAGTTTGGTAGGTTCGTATTTTCTAGATGACAGACATTTAAGACAACCATCAACTTATTTACAATTAGAAGCTTATTCCTTTTAAAATCTGTATTAATAAAAAAAAAAAATCAATTTTGGCACTATCCATAAGGCAATGGATGATATGTACCTAAGATAGCAAATCACATAATGAAAGCATAACCAGAAGAAAATTATATTCTTTAACTTATTATTGTAAGAAACTGTGAGACTTTACTAATAATTAAAGAGGAAATTAAAGGATCAGCACTTCTAAGTTACTTAAACACCCTATCCAAAATACTGAAGAATCTTATTATATGCAACAGGAAATTGCTGAAACCTGTGAAGCCACTTTGCCATGTCCTGTGGGAGAACCCAGTATTTCTATGGTTATTAAATTATCAAACTAGTTTTATTATCAGAAAATAGCAAAATGTGTAAGGAGAACATGAATTTACTTCTTAAATAAACAGAAAAGACATTAATCTGAAGTCCAGCCTTTGCTAACCGTCTATTTAAAAAACCCCAAAGGTAGTTTTTCCATTCACTCCACTGAGTAAAGACCACAGCTTCAAAAAATATTTTATTGATATAACTAGTTTTAACAACTTCCTTTTTGCATTTCCATCAGCTCTTGTGATAGCTGAACCTTAAACTTCAATTTCCCAGTGTTGCCACATTTCCACTGCAAAGACTGCAAGCCCACATTTCATAAAATGTGAATTTCATTTAAATTTTAAAATAATTGCATTTATCTTGAATTTATAAAAAGATTTTTTTCAAAACTTAAGGCAAAAAACAAGTTTTATTGGTTATGTTTCTTTAAGTCTGAGCAGGTGTATGAGGCTGTTTAAATATCAAAAAAGCAAACGCCATGTACAGTATTACCAACGAAAGTAAAGAATAAGGCAGCATGCACCCTTAAGATGAAAAGAAAATTTAATTTTACAAGATGTTTAAATAATTCCAAGGCAAAAAGTGTCTGTCTCCTCTAAGAGTATCTTCAGAAAACATGGAAATTTTAGAGGAATGTTTTAGAGGACATCAACTTACTAAAATATTCCGTTCAACGTTTATACAAATACATTACTACAATTGTAAGTTTACATACAATCAACTGACATCTCAGTGTTAACTAATTACTTAAATTTACAAGACAAACATAAATAAAGCTGTTAAAACAGGCAAGTACAGTACTGATCTATCATTCAGCACAACGTATTTTGTACTTCTTTCACCTTGAAAAGAATCAGATTAGAATTGTGCGAAGTTGATCTTCAAACCTAAAAACAAAATAAAAGAGAATTAAGTATATCTATGCAGGTTTTACACAGCATGGGCATATTCCAAATGCCTAAGTCCTGTTTTCAGGCATGTAATTTACCATTTAACAACCTCTTGTCTGTTCTCAGAAGAGGCCACAGTCTTTAAGGTTATTTTTAATAATGACATCAGTTACAGCATCAAAAACAAACTGCACATTTTTTGTGTCTGTGGCACAAGTGAAGTGAGTGTAGATTTCCTTTGTGTCTTTTCTCTTGTTCAGATCCTCAAACTGACACTGAATGTATGCAGCTGCTTCTTCATAAGTGTTTGACCCTAGAAGAAAAAAAATTGCTCAGTAAGCAGGTTTCAAACTGCAAAAGAGTAACATGCATATTGTATCCTTGAAGGAAGTGGTTCTTTGGAAATTGTTAACCTAAACCTGAAGAAGAGTAATTCCACAGCCATTGCTTAAAGATACCATTAAAAAACTTTGAAGGAAACCTTTTGGATGCATTTGTAAGAATAAAACCTAAGTATTCAATTCCAGCTGTAGGAAGTCTTTACATTTACTTCAGTGGCAGAGGAACAAAGTCATTAATGACCCATCACTGTCCCCTAGATTAGGATATTTTGTTTCCTGAATTCACTTTACTTGCTTTCAATTTTTATGTTTTTAAAAGGTTTGGGTTTTCCCCACACACAATTAAAACCATTTAGCATATGTATTTCTAAGCTTCTTACCTCTAACATGCTATTTTCTGTACCAGAGCTTGAAGTTACAATGAAAACAATACATAAAAAGGCTAAGACTTGTTCAAATGAATTCATCCTCTTTTGCTCTGTATTCCCTGAGTAAGCCACCTACTTCAAAATGTATGTACACTCCCTGTTCAATTAAAACTCTCATGTATCCTCAGGGTTTCCTACTTACATCTAAGTACTAAAACAAGACAATATCAGAAATAAGAATGGGTTAAATAAATTAGCCTGAAGAGTTGTAGCAGTACCATGTAAATGCTATCAGTGGACCAGCATTATTTCACGTGGTTAAAAAGACTTAGTCCTATTTTACTTGTGATCCATAAAAACAATTTCCCACCCTAAACTTCATTTCATATAAATATTTTAGATGCCTAGAGTTATTCAACTCACGATTTGTCCATCAAAAACTATGTAATTTAACAAAAAACCCAACAACTTGACACCTGCACCCCCCTCTAATACCTGCATATTCAGGGTAGCAAATAGTGAGAGGACTTCTTTTGATTTTTTCTTCAAAAAGATCCTTCTTGTTCAGGAATAGAATAATAGAAGTGTCTGTGAACCATTTATTGTTGCAGATACTGTCAAACAATTTCATGCTTTCATGCATCCGATTCTGTAATTGGAAAAAAACATATCTCTTTGTATTTTATCAAACTTGGGTAGTAAAATCAGGATTCGTATTTTTGATTAGTTACAAATGAACCAGGTAAGTTACAAAACTAAGTTTTTAGCAAACGAAATCACATGTTACCACAGGGAAATACAGAGAAGTCAAGACCACCACAAAGACCACTTCTATAAGCTCGGTTTAAGTAACTACTTTTTCTCATTTTCAGGTTTAAGTTTTTAGTATTTACTGTGTTTTGACATTTTGCAGTACAGGTATTCTGCAAGAATCTCTGAGTAACCTGAATTTTTCTTAATACTGATCAGATCTTCTGGAAATTGAAAATGAATTCTGCACCTAGCTGATATTCCAGAAGAAGAAAAAAAATTTCTACAAGACTAGTGAATCAAGTAAGCAGGTTTTTTTCCTCTTACCATAATTCTTAACTCTGTAGAAAAAATTATCCAATATGTAAGTACTTTGGCCAAGTTCCAGCCATTTAAGTAGCAGGATACTAGCTACGACCTTCTTTAACTACATCTGACTTGAAAGGTTTTCTTATTTCTCTTTCCTCCCCAAATTAAATTTTATAGGAGGTTGCAGAACACGAGGAAGAGCACAAAAGTCTGTTAATGATTCACACACAACAGACAAGCATCACTTCAGACCACTCAGACAGTAAAATGCACCCTGTGCACAGTGACATGGAAGGAGCAAACCCTTGAAAGAGGAGAAAGTTGCAGAGGGGGGTGGAAGGGAGAAGGAAGAGAAAAATTTCTGCAACTGAGATCAGAGAAACATATTCAGAAAGATGCAAAAACTGAAGACTGAGGAAGGAAGGAAAAACAAAACAAAGTAGATACAGATAAGTCAAGAAAGTTCTTACTCTGTACTTCTAGCATCCCTAAAGAGACTAAAATGCGTATTACTGACAATGCATCCTCATTAACTTATGCATCCTTTAAAACATGAAAGTGTAGCTGCAAAGAATACTTGTCTCTTAGTATTCCTTCTGAGAATATGAGGAAATACTCTGAAACCCAAAGGTATGAATTCTATCACCATTCTTGGGACCTCCTGCACAAACCATACATCTTATAAAGCAGTAATACTCCAGAAGACATATTTATAGCTTTCCTTCCAAACTTATTCAGCTTCTATCCAACAACTGTTCCCTTCTTCAACATTGCAGTACTTGCCATTTCCTCATCTTCAGCCAAGACCAAGTCATAATCACTCAGTGCCACACAAAAAATAATTGCTGTAACACCCTCAAAACAATGAATCCACTTCTTCCGCTCTGATCTTTGGCCTCCAACATCAAACATTCTGTGAAACAGAAGCACAAAGCAGGGAATGAACTTTGGAATTTCTAGCTTTCTGTATATTAACCAATAAAATCTGAAAATATCAGATATGTAAGTCTGAGCACAACATTTTAAAAAGGACATAAAAATCTGCAACATTTATTACTATTTTTCTCATTAAAAACCCCAATTTTAATAAAGCCTTAAAAGCCTTCCTATACATTTTAGAGAGCATGAGGAGGTATGAGATGAAAGCTAAACAAGACTAATTATTTACAATAATATATTTCATTAACAAAGTTAATTGTAATCTATAAAAAATAAAAATATTGAGTTAGCTTTATTAAAAAGTCTAAAATAAAAAAAGATACTGAACAACAATGTAAGATTCTTTAAGAGAAGAGTGGTGTCTTTCAATACTTGGAAATAATGCAGAACTAAGGAAGTTGAATACAGGCAACACTGACTTTATTACTGATGTTTTCGTATTCTGAAAATTAAAATATATAATTAAATTTGTAGAAAATAAATTTTAGATCTCAACTCTAAATTCTGGTGAGGTTCAGCACCTCTCTCTTCTAAATCAAATTACAACTTAAATCCATTCTTCAACTGGCCATCTTTAAATGAGATTTTTTTTTAAGACATGCTTTAATTATTTTCAAAATTATCTTAAAAGACAAAAAAAGGATTACAGAATAAAAACAACTCTCATTTTCCCTCTAATAAATGCATTGTTTGGAAATGCAATTAAGTATTTCATATGATACACTTACTAAAACTGACTTGTATTTTTTTATTATCCCCCTTTCCTGTTTTTCCCTGAGCTGTAAGGTGGGGCACATGGATAAAACCTTACCAATTTAATGTTAGTGTACTACACAACTAGGTAAATTGCACTTGAAGGATTTTAATTACAGCTGTTATTTTTACAAATCAAGTGTTCCAAGTTGCTAGATTTTAATTTGAAAAAACAGAGTAAAAATAAGTAGAGAAGGAAACAAATTAGAAGGAAAACAAAGTCCCTTTGCTTTATCATCAAAAAACTGCCAGAAACCTTGTAACCTCTAATAAGGTCTTCTACTGGGGTACACTATGGTGTGAGAATGCTCATTGCCCATTTAATGTTCTACATTGGGACAATGCCATGTTAAAAATGCCTTGAAAGATTATTCCTGTTAGAATTTAAAAAGGAGAAAAGGATTCCTTAGAAGTGTTACTCCTTACCTTCAGAGATATCTTTGAGAGGACACCTTTGGATATTACCCTATATTAATGCAAGGCAGCCACCTAGTCCTACTTCTCAAATAATTAATGATGGTTGTACCCCTAGGAAGATATTTTGTACCTGTATACCTTAATAATCAATACCTTACATTTTACTTGTTACTTCTGTCACTCTAATGCTATGCTTTATAACTTCATACTAAGAGATGAATTTCTGTAAGAATTAACATTTCTACAGAAAAAAAAAAAAGGTGTTCTTTGAAGACAAAAGTAGTAAATCATCAGACTCAACTTCGGGAATAGTCTATAGAAACAGGATGAAGACTGGTTATTTGCATTTTGGATTGAATCAATAATCAAAGTTATGCTAAGCACTTTATAGAGAAGGCTGAATTGAGGCTCAATCTCAAAGAATCTAAACACATATAGAAGAACAGGAAAGAAAAGATTATGAAAGAAATAGATACTGCACAGCTAGTCATGTTTATGTACCCTTGCCTTACACTAATGAAGCCTTTCATGCCTTTGGTTCATCTTAGAAGTTCTTTTCAATGTTATGTCAGAGTATATTTCAAGCCCTTCCAATAACTCATTAAGCCTTTCTCCTAAAGCACAGGTACAGGTGTTTAAATGTACAACATTACAGCTAAATACTTCCACAGGCCTGTTACACATTTTACAGAAGCAGAATCCCATGGTCCTTGTAACAGCCCTGATAATCAGCACAGACTGGACCCATCTACCATAGGGAGTTGAACAAGAAACATTAGAAAGTGAGTGAGAAGATGAAGTGCTCCTCAGAATACTGAAGACTTCTCTTCAGGCTTGGCTGAGGACTACTCTCCTCAGGTTTTCAAGAGATACATTCCCATTTATCAGGTATTCTTCTGTGGATTAATACAGATTTTGTACACTTAAACCTTAAAACAAGGAAACAAGACATATTTACACAGTACTGATGGTCCTGCAGCATACCTATTACAGCACTTGATACACATTTCCATGAAAAAGAAATATTTTCCATACAGATACTAAAGAAACATATTATATAGATATGCTGATAACAACTTCCGCATAGTTTAAATGTGATTTCATGTAATTTAATGTGTGTTTTACTGAGTTTTCTTCTCATTCTTCCTCACCAGTAGGAGGTAGACTATTTTGATGCTTTCACCATGAACGGTGCACCTGGGGCGGGGAAACCCTGATGTCAACACAGGCTGGGGGACGAACGGATTTAATATACATAAAAAGCATCTTTACAAAATGCTTCCAATAAATCCCAAACATTTACTGAAGTTCCAACAACTATTATATCCCTTCAGAATATTGAGTCCAGCATGAGGAATTTTTTTTTTAAAGAAACAGAGGAAAAAATAATCTAACTTGTGGTTAGACAAATTTATTAAATTACACCCTTGAAAGCCACATTCTAGAATTTTACAGGAACTGTAACAGATAGATGATCATGCTGCAAGATTTACATACTTAAAATGAAGATCTTTGAAAGTAAAGTGAGTTTCCACTATTCCTGTGGTTTTCACTCTAGTCCTGAGAACATCCTGTTGAGTTGGAATGTAGCTGGTTTGTGCTATCCTGTCCAAGTCGTTCAAGTAACTAAAGGTAAAAATAAATACTGTTTTCAGTTATTCATAAAATTGTAACAAAATAATTACAAAGAATTACAGAAGTTCTAGGTCCATCCATTACATTGTCCTTGAATTTTATAAAGTAGTTTTCTCTGACGTAAGACAAATAATCTAGCCATGTTATTCATTAAAATTTCCAAGTTTTTTTTTCAAAATAAGCTTTAGAGACACAACAATATTTCATCCTAGATGAAAGACAACTTATACAATTTATTCCACTACAAACTGGAAATCCCAAAATGCAAACATGGTTCCACGTACATCAGTGTTGTTCGCACTAATTAGAAGAACACCTTCATCTTTGTAACCTAATGAGTTTACAGTTACTTTGAACTGTAAACAAAGCCCCAAAATTACCCTAGATTTGATAATAGGCATGAAAAGAACAACTCAGTGTTTTGGTCAGAATTAATGTGTTTAAGAAAATGCCTTATACATAACAATTAACTTCCTATTGAGAATTTCTAATTACACATATTTTTTACAATAATATGCTTTCATTGCCAAAATTCTTGCAACGTAGGCCAAGACCAGTGCTTCTAAAAACCATATAAATCTTATTTGTGCTTACTTTTGCTGTTCCCATAGTAAATAGGGAAGGCATTATGTTCTACTTTCTGTGTGACAAGTTAGCAATTTTAAGGATACAACTGTATGGCTAAAAGAACAGTTTTCTTATGAAACTGGAGGTAGAGATATCTAAAACAACAAAATAGAACACGGGAGGGTACCAGAGGAGAGTAATTTAAACTCCAAACAGAGTGCTTCATATTGAATAAACTTTGTACAAGAAAGTGAGAAATAACTTCAAACACTACAAATTACTTCAGAATTATAAAGCTTTAAAAAAATTGCACTATAACAGTGTCACTGCTATGCCATTCTTTACCATCTTAACTCTCCCTTGGTGGACTCTTTCCTTGACTGACTTACCATTACTTGCTGCCACACAATCTTATTTCTGCCACCCTTAGTTCCTTATTATTTTATTTTTTACTGAAGTGGCCTAGCATAAATGATACATCCTGATTGTTACCTTTCCTCAAAACATTTCTAATAGAGACCATTAATTAACAAAGAAAATGCAGTAATGTTGAACTATAGGAGAAACTCTATTATGAACATGAAATTAGTATCCTTGGTAATATTCAGATCAAGTTTTCTGGACACGTTCAGATACTGAAAAGGTAGTTGAGTCATGTTTTTGTAATAAAAATGCTATTAAAGCACCTTAAAGCAATTTTTGTCTTCTTTAAGAGGGTGAAACACCTGGTCAGAGCACGACAAGTTCATAATTATACCATACCTCTTCCTTTCCAACCTCAAAGTCTAGCTGCAGCATTTTGACCCAAGCAGACAGTATCTTTGTCCAGATACTTCTGTGGTTTCCATCTATGGGGGAGCAGAACTTGTCAAAAGATAACTACTACTTAGAAGGCCAAGAGAATCTTGTCTGTCACGCAGTACTTACTAGGCAGCAGAGTCATTAAGCTGGTACTCTCGAGATCTGTTGAAACAAGCTTGAACTCCACTGTCTTTCCACAGTCTCTTGATAACTCCAGCAAGCTCTGCAGTCATAAATCCTTCTTCTGCTGCTCCAGCCAACACAAAGAGCTGACGAGCATCATCCTTTAGGATGTAAACAGAGAGTGTAGAGACAAATATTGAGCAATACATGTATTATCACCTAAGATATTCAGCAAATGAGTTACTTAACCTGGTAAACGTGAATGTAACCAAACAAAAAAAAAGTGAAATTGGTTTTAGTGTTCTCAATAGGATATCAATTCCCACATTTTTCAACAACACAAAGTGTTTCAACATTAAAAATTTGCCATTGCTGATAAAGTTTCTAAGTTGAATAAGTTTTCATAAATAGGACTAGTAACATATTTTGTGCTCAAGCCTAAAGTTCACTGTATTTCTCATCAAATACCACATACTGGACAAAATGCTTACACTGCAGACTAGATTCTTCAGAAATGCAGATGTATATAGATTAACTGAAGATAACACATTGAACACTTAAGCTTCAAAAAACAGCTTTGAAAGTGACAAAATCACTTCCCAAATCTTGTATCAGGAGTTAGAAAAATACTTCTTAAAACCTTTCCAGATAAATCAGCTACAAATTTCGTTACCTCTAATTATTCTACAGACACCAGATTTTCTTGGTAAAGCAATACTAAACAAACATCAAGATTTTTAAGAGCAAATGCTGGATTTTAAAACTACTTATAAGGACAGGCTTTGAGAGTGAGGCTAATGGAGTACAGGATGTAAATCTATCATTCCCCTTTAACAGAATGTGACCAGTTTAGCACCTTCATCCAATTTTGACTGAGCAACAAAACACTAGACCTGTAAGGCACTGGGAAAAAGACAGCAGCTGGGTAGAGGGAAGATCTACACTAGTACCCTGCTGCAGGGAGCTCCTTGACCTTGGTTATCAGCAGTATGTGATCTAATGCCAAGGTACATCAGCCAGAAAAATCATCACACTCGAGGCTTGTCACTACTACCCACAGCATGTACTGTTTGTCCAGTAATTAAAAGAAAGAGAATAATGAACCTGAAAAGGAGAAAGGGAGAGACTTTGACACATCAGCTGGAAACTGAAAGTATTTCAAGATAGAGGAGGATTTAAAAAAGCAACACATAAGGTTATTCCCACAAAACAGTAAGAGAAGACACAGGTGCAAATCTGTAGAAAAATATATTGCTCTGCTGTTCAAACACTAAGCTGTGGGAAAAAAAATTTCCAGGATAAGCACATAAAGTAGTGATTGTTCTAAAGATACTGTCCACTGTAGACTTAAACAATCAAAGTTTATGCAAGCTAACAGAAAAATTGTTTACAGATAGATTGAGTAATACTGAATTTCACAGGCTGAAAACACAAAGCTTGCAGTTCAGTCAACTCAAGGCAAACTTGAAGAGATTTAAATATATGTATATATATGTAGGTACACATATGAAGAACCGGTATCTGATATATACTTGAAAGTGTCTTTTGAAAGTTAGAGTTGGTAGAAATCTAAAAGAACAGCTGTTAAACAAAAATACTAATTACTGTACATAGACAGGACAAATTGTGGACAAATAATAAAAATTCTATGGATTTCAATAATAATTACGTACAAAACCCAGAGCCCTAAAGATCAAAGAGTTGGATAGTCAGATCTCAGGGACTGTAATTTGAGCAATATGCCTGCATAAAAGAAACCTGAATGATAATTCTGGTCTTGAAAATTGTGGATGCAAAGGCAAGAACCTACAACTCACAGAAGCAGTAGATCTTGAAGAAGAGACAATATATACAACAATATGTACAACACATGATGGAAACAGCTTAGAAACTGATAGCCAATTTTGTCACAAAAAATGATGCCATTTTATGTCTAAATGGTCTGACTTTCAAGTATAGAAAATTTATTCTGTTTCAAATAGCTCTGATCTCTACACGCTCTCCAACAGGTAAGAGGGGAAAGGGAAGATGAAACAAGTGAGTTGATTTTAGCTCTTTAAAAGCCCAAACATTAAGAAATGGTCTCTGCTACGCCTGTACTCCTTTTGCTAAGGATGGCAACTACCAGAGACACCACAAGGGAGGCAGTATACAATGATCAAGTCCTACTTTCATTATTAACCAACGCTAGATATTTTTCTTCAATATCTTTAACTGGAATGGGGCAGCTTCCTCTCTAGGTATCACTCATTTTATACCAGATTTCATAAATGAGGTAATGTAAAAAACCTAATTTAACCATGCCTCTAATTACCATAAATCTCACAATCAGAAAGTGGTCCACAGTCCTTTGAAGCACATTCACTAAATGTCTCTCAAAACACAGTTTCTATTTAAGTACTGTCCCATAGCACGGACAAAGATACACCAGATTCCAGACTGATCATTATTGAAGCTGCTGGTGTAAGATGCGCTCCCTTGATTGAATAACTTGAAAAAAGAAAATGTTCAACTCACTGCTTTACCATTAGCCCTATGACAAAAATAAGAGCATACGATTTTCCAAACAGACTTATCCCATTTAGAGGAAAAACCTCAAAAATTCACCCAAAAGAATCTTAATGTAATACTTTGCCCCAGGAGTTACAATTTCAAGCTTTTCAAGCTTTTTTTTTCCAAAACAAAATAGAATAACTGAGGCATAAATACACTTTTTTCTTTTTTTTTTTTTTCAAGTGATACTGATATACAACAGAAATTCTGTATTACTTTTTCCATTTCTGGCTTAATAAATGGCAAGAATCTAGTACTAACGTTCCACAGCAGTGATGCTCTGAAAAAAAAAAGAATTTGGACCACCAAGACTTGACTAAGTGCAAAGGGATGGATGGCTATTTTAAGATTATTCCTGACAGAAGTCTGCTTCATCATTTATATAGCTCTCTGAAGTTGAGAAACTCAGATGACTTCAAACTGACATCATGTATAACATAGCCCTCAAAATCTTCTTGTTAGTCATTTTATCTGCTAACACCTAAATTTACTCCTCCTCCGTTTTCTCTTACTATGTATTTAGCAACATAAGTCTACCATCTGCCTCTTTGCAACATTAACTGCCAGACTCCAGAAAGAACTCCACTGCAAAATGCCAAACTAACAAGCACTGAGATACTGTCGCTGCCCTGGAAAACTTTGGTAGACTACAGCAAACACAAGAGTAAATGCAGAGAGGAATAATCAATGAAAATGAAGCTTTTCCTATTTATGTTTACAACTGAAGAGACATCATTAACATATGTACATAACAAAAATGTCTATAATTGGCTAACTGCCAATCAGATTTAGACTTCGGATACAACTTTATTACTCACTATATGTAATCTCATGAACGTTTGTCTTCCTTATGACAACCATACATACTGCATTTCACAGGATTACTAAAGGAATACTCTCTAACATTTATAAATTTTGCTCTTCAAGCAATCAATAAAATGAACACAAGCCTGTCATGAATAAGGAATTTACAAACTGTTTCTTAAAGGCCCTCCTCTCCTTCCAAACTGTAATTCCACATTAACATGACAGAAAAAACTTAAGTCAAAATATCCCTCTGACTATCTTACATACTTATTTCAATATATGAACAGCAAAACCCTTCCTCCATTTTTCCTGGGGGACAGCCACAACATGACAAGTTCCTGCATCAAAACTCTTACTGGTGAGCATTCCATGTTCTGACATTGATTTCTATGGAAAGGAGATAAAAGCACACATCCTGAGCTAAGCTTAACTATTCAGACTGACAGCTCTGGGGATCAGTTTCAGCACTGCAGTACAGACTGTACTCAGTCCTGAAACAAGAGGACAAGTAAAAACACCTAAGCCGAGCATTTTATACAAATATTCTGAGCACCTCACCACCTGACCAGATGTGGGTGCAATCAGAGTCACCACAGATAAGAGCATAGGGGTAGGACTGGAGATATCAATTCTACAGACCAGTTTCAAACAGGTGGAACGGCAAATAAACCCATCAGAGGTTTGCATGTGGGACATAAAATGAAATAAGATGGAAAAGGTGAAGAAAAGCTTAGAAAAGGTCTCATTTCCTGGGAAAAATCTCAAGGTTGGTATAATGAAAAACATGGGATACCAGCATCAGGTTTAGGCCCATGTCTCTGCTTTGAGTAAAATAAAGTTCTCAACACTGGAAATCCGTATGACAGGATTCAGTTCAGAGGCTGGAAATGTTTCAGGCACTGCTGTGCCTATGAACTAATAGAGACGTTCAGACAGTAGCTACATGCCTCCCTATTTCAGCTGTGTTTTTTCAAGGAATGTGAAGATGTCTAACTGAAATGACCTACAGAATGTAGCAGCCCACAAATCTGTACAAATACAGAAATGGCTGCATAGTTTAATGTTTCTGAAAAACTCCCTAAGACTCGGATGTTTAGACAGAATTTGGAAAATTGTATCTAAAACAAACAGGTGTTCTGAATCAATCCAATGCTCCACAGGTCACCTTGCCATGTAAAGTTTTCAATGAGACTTCATATCCTACAAAGAATATTTCTGAATATCAAAAGATTTTTTCAGGAAATAGTATGGATATTTCAGCTGTATGTGTGTGTGTGTGTGTGTACTTCAATACTCACAGCCCTGATTGGATCACCAAAGTCTATCTTCAACCTCCCCATTGCTCTAATGATAGCAATAATGGACTGAATGGTGTTACTGTAGACAACAGCTTTGTATTGTTTACATTCTTCTTCTGAATAACCAGCTTCATGGATAATCCTACGGAAGAAAAAATAATAAATTCTCCATTCACATAAAGAGAAATATTTCTCTGTCATAGTATTTTACCATACTTACTTCATCTGCTTGACAATTGTGCTTTTCCCCGATTCACCAGCTCCTGAAAAATAAATATGTGAAAATTCATTAGACTTTTATTAATCTTTGAAAATACACTTAGTTTCTACACTTCAATTGTCTAACCAATATAAAAACTTTCAATAGGTAAAAGGACACATTACAAATTGATTTTTAATATAAAAATGCATCTTAAGGTGGAAGTTTCAAAATCAAGCCATTTTAAGAACAAATCATTCAGTTCTAAAATGTCTTTTCTTTTTACAGAAGTGAACATAATCTTTACACAGTCTGCTGGTGTTTCTAATGCTAACAGATGATAAGACACTCAACTTCAAAGGGGTCTGAAGCTCAATTCCTCTAGTTGCCTTTTTAATCAAAACCTAAACAAAGTTTATAAGTTCTTCACACATTAATGGTCTTCTGTGTTGCAAATGAACATCTTAAAACTCTTCAGAGCTCTAGTCCTCATAACCCTCTTTTGACCCTTGCATGAATAAACCAACACAGCCAACCTACTTCTTGTTAGAACAGATGGCATAAGGTTTGTCAGTCATCCTGATACCATTCTTAGTGTTTAATAAATTTAAAAAAAAAAAAGAGAATGCTATGTTAAAATACAAAGCTTACAAAAACAATTAGTATCTCTGCCTACAGACAGGGGGGAAAAAAATTGTAATTTTTGCTGTCTCAACAACGTATCTTTAGTTTATTTCTTTCTCTAAAGATATATGAAACTCTTACAGCTGTGGTGGAGTCATCATCCCTAGAGGTATTTAAAAACTGTGTAGATGTGGCACTTGGGGTTTAGTAGTGGACTTGGCAGTGCTGAGTTAACAGTTGGCCTTTTCCAACGTAAACAATTGTATGATTCTGTCCACACAACCATTATGCATGCCAAGGCCCTACTTTCCAGGAAGTGGCCCAATACCTGCCTCCCAGTAGGAAGCAGGGAATTAATTCTTCTTTTTGCTTTGCTAGTGTGTGCAAGCTCTGGCTTTTCCTATTAAAACATCATTATCTTGATCCATGAGTCTTCTTGCCTTCCTTCTATTTTTAATTTATCCCAAGGGAGAGGAGAGTTATCACACAGCTGTGTGGGTGTTTGGGTTGACCCTGGCCAACAGCTTTCACGGCTGCACTGGCAAAACTGCAGACAAGTGAAAAGAACTGTTCTTCCCCAGCAGTCAGCATTCATTATGCTGCATCAAGTACTGTATCCAGTTCTCCAGCTCGGCAGTCAGTAAATGAGATACTGATAAACCAGACAAAAACCAGTAGAAGGTCACTGAGTTGTTTAGAGGGCTGCTGCACATGGCATTCCAGGAAAAGCTACAAGGAAAGGGGCTTTTTAATCCTAGAAAGATTAGGAAGAAGGTTGGATGTGTGTACAACTGCTGTCCTCTCCATAAAACCTGCTTAAGACAGTTTAAAGCAGAAGTAAATTTGTTACTCATTACACATACGCAACAAAAAGATGTGAGGCAATCAAGAACCTGCAGCACAGGCAGTTTCACAGATATAAGGGGGGAAGGGGGAGACAGGCAGGGGACCTATTCCCATGGAAGAGATTGTACTGGAACGAAATGCGCATGGAGGAAGTAGAAAGGCAGCCTTGGAGACCTACAAGATTCAACTGGCCAAGGCTCTGAGCAACCTTATCCATTTCCACGTTAGCCTGGCTTTGAGCCAAGGGCTTAACGAGATGACTTGTAAAGGTTTCTTGTAACATCTATTATTTCATGCCAGTATAACAGAGTATTCTGTACTTGTCACTGTGCAGTGATGCTTTTGAGATGTTCCTCCTACTGAACCAAATATGTAATTCAGGACAGGCTCAGGCCAATTTAAGACTGCCAAAAGTCATCCCACCTCCCCCCCAGCACCGCTACTGATGTGGCTACACTTCCCTTCTTCCAGCATTGCAGAATGAGCGCTGGCATCACGAGGAGCTGGTGAGCTCAGAGTTGAGTAGCTAAGGAATAGAGAAGGTCTGTCACATCCATCTAAGATTGCCTAATGCCATCATTAACTAATGTCCAAGTAAAAAGCTTATTTTTTTATAAATCTGCAAGTTTCTTTATAGAGCAGCAACAGTTCTCAGACTCTGAGCTACCATGGAAATACATTGATATAAACAGAAATCAGAGGCACCAATAAAAAAGTCATTTGTTATTTAGACATCTGAAGCACTTACAAATCAAATTAACACCCAATCTCAAAATAGCTAATCATGCACTGATGCACAAATGAGTGACAAAAGTTTAAAGACTAGCTTTATTAACAAAATTACTATAATTTCCTTTGCAGTATTATTTTTATTCAAATAATTTGAAGACAGTATATTCCCCTGCATTCAACAGCAATTTTGGAGATATTAAGAAATATACTACAGTATTAAATTTATATAACCTTGTAAAGTGCTCTTTCTGTTAAAAATTTGTCACATTTGACTAACCAAGCAGGTCAGTGTCAGGGCTAGTTACAGTATAAAAATGAAATTATTTTTGTCTTACACTTTCTAGTCCATTTTTTCTGAGTCAGATATGAGTGTTAGAATTCACATGTACCAAATACCTAGAATTATCATAAAAGCCCTGTCAGTAACATAACCACAAACACTAAGAATACATATGAAGAACAATTAAGTAACTTTTTATCAAGTACTCAACATCAACATTGAGTTCCTGGAAGGTGCATTCCCCTACACTATTTAACGGAAAATAGAAACGATTGTGTTTGGTTTGGGTTTTTCCTTTATTTGCACACTGAAATGCTTGCAGTTTTCCTAATAATCTTTGCAAAGTATATAGGAAAATTACACCTTACTCAGTGTCCCATAGTGAAAGGAAGTTTATTATTTTCTCACTCCTGAATGCAGAGTTCTGCCAGGTTTTCTGAAAGATGCACTTTTAACTTATCCTCCTTTATCTCAGCATACATAAATTGTCCATAAAGCAAAATGAGAACTAACCCTGTTTTAGAAAGCTTTAGACAGGAGTAAGCAGTATTAAATATTACATCTGACAGCTGCATATAAAATGTCAGAGCTGACTGTATTGTCACAACCAAATTCTACCCAAATTTAGACTGACTTGACTGTATATTCCTCAATCATCTAGTAAGGGATGTTATTTATTGCTTGCTAGTTAAGTGTGATACTTGATTTCAGCATCACTACTGTCAATAATTTGAACAGTCTTACAGGTTCTGCTACTATTTATGTATAACAAAAACATTAATAAAAAGACATGACAGTTCTGCTCAGACTAGAAGAACGGTAGCACATCAGTTCTGAATTTAAAAGAATAGTGGGCATTTTTCGTTTGCTTAGTTTTAAATGATGGTCTAAATTAACTGTTAGTCAACACACAAAAAAATGTTTAATAACTGATTACTATTTTCCTTTCTCTTGCACACTATGTCCTTCATGTGCTTCTCAAAAAGAAAAAAAAAAAGCAACACAACTTATGAAAATCTAATTTAGAGCGAAGAATTTTAAAACTTTTGTTCACAAAGTCTATAAGAATACAACTTGAACTAAATCTAATACTCTTACTACACCTGCTTGCCAGATAGCAGGTAGATCCTTATGCTTCATTATGGAGACTGACAAAGTGTGGAAGGCACATCCAAGTTAATCAGCACAATTTCATGTTTTCCCCATAGATCCTACTATAATCTGAAGGGTCTTCTGCATTAAAGTTTAGTATCTTCACATGTCAGTATTTCACAGCTAGTACTGTGCTATTCAAAGCAGTCTTTTACTTTTTTTTGGATCCAGCCTGAGTTCTGACAGTACTTGGTGAATTCAGATCCAGCACACAAACCCAGGCCTGTGACTGACCCAACTGTACCATCCACAGCTCAGGGAATCTGAACAAAGAGGGATTAAGTTTGTATTAGAACTTTTCTTTCAAAGCCAATTTTCAGCTTCGGAAATAGAAAAATCAAAGCATCTTCATGTTCAAAAAACCCAATCAAAAAACCATTTAACAGATCTGCCTTGCATATAGCCCCCTGAAGGAACCAAGTAAAACTAGCAAAGCTCAAATAAATTTAAGGAACAGCTAAAGCAGTATTTGATTCTCTGAGCTGTGATTTGTCCAATTACAGAAAAAAACTTAAAAGACAGGGTTGGACTTGATCTGAAGGTTCTTTTCCAACCTAAATGATTTTATCAGCCTATGACTCATTACTACGAAATTGTAGCAAATACCATCTTAGACAGATTGAATATTCTTTTACTTTTCAAATGGAGCAAATCTGTGTTTAAAAAGAATTAAGTATTTAATAATTTGATTAAAATTAACAGATCAGCAAAAATGTTACTTTAAACTACTCAGAGTGTCTCATGATTTATTATCCCACGCACTGCCTACATAGCAAGCATTCCAGAACTACAAATTTCTAGAACAAATGTTTTATGCACTCAGGCACAGAAACTGCTGCTTGTAAGTGCTGAGATCTTAATAGTAACATTTCAAATGTGTGACACATTCGCTAATTGATTACTGAAGGAAACAGTCAAATACCAAAGTAAAAACAAAGGAAACTTCAAGTTCACAGTATCCCTCTTTGGAGGAAACCACCTGTCAAGTACAACAATTTCTAACAGCATAAATATACTCCTTGTAACACTAACACAGTAAAAACCCTATAGATTTATTTATTTTTTTGAGAAAAAAAGGATTAGAGCTAGAGAAATAATGGGTTGACTTTGAACTACTGACTAAGTCAGACAAAGGAACAGAACCCACAAACAAGTAGAACAGCCCTGTATGTTGTCAGAAGAGAGATCAAGTATGGACAAGAGTAATTAATACAAAACTTTCTACAGATGCTTGCCAGCTTTTCAGCTTGTAGAACAGGACACTTAGACCAGACTAACTTAAGCACAGACACATGCAAAATTTAAAATAAAACACACTGACTCGTAAATTTTTGGATTCACCTCCTGTTAAGTTCTCTCCCCACAACTCTCCAGTCAGATTCTGTCAGACACTGGAGTTTCACAGTAGTAGGCACAAGCTGAATGATGCC